GTGTGATTTGCTCGCCTTGTGCTTGTCTTCCTGTCCCGCTCCGGCAGTTGGCCCCAGGGACTAAACCAACCTACCACTGCTGCACAGGGACGTGCTCTCCATTGGCTCCAATGACAGAGGCCTGCACTTTTGGCCTGGAAAGTCCCAGGTGCAGTCCCCGCTGATGGGAACAGCATGCGATGGATGGGGGCGGGGGAGGGTGGCATCCATGCCTTGTGAAATGTTCATACGGCGACGCCCTCCTGGACCAAGGGTCCCTGCTAACGCCCTGCAGCAGGTGCCCTGCTGTCCCTGGCCTGGGCTCCCACCACCCTTCTGCCAACGCCTCTCAGTAACTCGCCTCCTGGTGCCGTCCTGCCAGGTCCGAGGCGCTGCTGAACATGGGCTGGTTCTGGCCATGCGGCCCGGTTTGTGCTCGGGCCTGAGAGACCAACAGACCCGTCAGCACATTCGACCCGGGCTGGCCTTAAACCCAGATCTCTGGAGAGAAAAGGGAACAGAAGGGGTCCCCGTCCCAGTACCCTGAGCGGTGTGGGCTTAGCCCCCTCCTCACCGCCACTTTGCCCCCGGCAAGGAGGCACCCTTGGGAGACCTGCGCCTGACCTGATGCTACGGTGCCCAGAGAATTCCGGCCCGAGGGCAGGTGGCACTGTGGGTACCGGGAACGCCAGACACAAGACGGGCAGCGGAGAGCTCAGTGAAAAGCAGCATTTTTATTGTCCGAACGTGCTGGAACTCAGAGCAGCCGAAGGAAAATGTTTCTTTCGTCCTTTTTTGGTTAGTTTATTTGATTCCCCTGAGCACCACAATCCAGCTCCCACTGAGTGCACTGGATCAACTCCGAACCCGACGAGAGAAGAAACTGAACGGAGGAAAATCAAGACACCTCGGAAAGCTTCACACACAGCGAGCGAAAGCGGCACAGCCTCTAACCCTAGCAGCCTAGCACAGCAAAGGAAGAGCTCCTAGCCGAGAGCAGACAGACAGACAGACACACAGACAGAAGTAAGATCATTCTCTGCTTCCTTTCCCCTTCTCCGGGTGCTACTGGCCCTACAAAGTGAAAGCCAAGTGCCTGAGACACTGGATCTTTGGTACAAGAGCTTTGAAAGTCAACCCCAGCCCCAGCCGCCCACACCCTGGCTCAGTCCGGTTCCCCGTCCTCCAGGGCTGGTGGAACGGCACCGTGACTGTCCATCTCTTCCAGCGACGCCGGGCGCGGATGCGGTGCCCACCACGTCACAGCAGGATGGGCCAGACGCAAAGCGGGCAGGGAGGCTCAGCCCAGCTGTTGCCAGGCCCGCCCTGGCGCCGGCAAGCTGGGAGCCGTGGCATGACACATCCGTTCCTTCCCGCGCTGCCACTGGGAGGGGAGGCAGCTCTGACGGGAGCCCCGGGGAGCACAGGAGGAGAATCGTCTTCGGGGAAGAGGGCGTCTTTGGTCAGTTGCAGGATTATTATCGTTTGGGAAGATGAAAAGGGGATTCAAACCAGGAAGCGCCCGTGCCCGCGGACCGCGGCTCTGAGGCTGCCGACGGCTCCGTGGCCCTCAGCTGGGCACGGCTCTCCTGGCCTCGCCCTGCAGTAGAAAGCACTGAGCTTGCAAAGACCACTCAAGCCAGACTCTGGGTGTCCCCCCACCCCACCCCCAGCACCCTCCGCCAGCCTGGCGGTTGGCACATCCTGGCGCACAATGAGGTAGACATGAGGTTAGATCTGCTTGTTCCCTTCTTTAGTACCATAGCAATTTACACGCGCGCAAAGGCCGCCCCCAGCCCTGGGCGAGGCAGCGAGTGGAGGGGGGGGAAGGGAGGCGGCATCCCGCCGGGCTCCCCAAAGGGCTCTGGAGTCGCGGCGGGCAAGGGCCCTGCAGGGGTAGACGAGGTAGCGCCGTGTGCGCCCCGCCTGGCTGCTTCTCTCTTTGCATCTCTGCACGGTGAGGTATTTGGGGGGGTCTTTGCAGCCAGGTGGGGGGAGGGAGTAGATGGGGTGGCAAACCCACAGCTGGCATCGGGGGGGACTGGATCTCAATGCCACGATGGTGACAACAGTGGGACAAACTGGGCTATCTGCTCACCAAGGCTGGCCTCCCCTAGACTGGCCCCCTCCTGCACTGCATGCTCTAGACTCCGCCCACCACCTATGCCCCACCCTCCCCATAGGCTCCGCCCCTTCTCAACACATTCTGCCCCTCCCACTAGCCCTAGCTCCTCTGCCCTGCCCCCAATCCCACCCAACCAACCGACCTGCTTCAGATTGCTCCCCGTCAGCCCCTTTGCACCAGGCGCTGGGGGCCCAGCTTTTGGGGGAGCGTGGAGGAGAGCGTACTGCCCCTTTGTCCCGATGGGGGGAGGGGAAAGCCAGCTGGGCCACATGCTGCCACGTCTGTGCAGCCTGGAGGTGCAGTCACCTGTGCATCACTGGAGCCCCACAGCTGCCCTCCCCCCCCCGTCCCCACCTTCAGTGGGTCCAGCTCTCCTCCTGCTCCACCTCCTGCCTCCCTCTGCCCCACCACCGCCATCTCCCCAACACCTGGCTGCATCCCCCCCACCTGAGATTCCCCCACCCCAACACACTGGGGCCATCTCTTCTGCTCCCCCCCCATCCCAGAGACCAGGTGCTCCCCCCTCCCCCTGCAGGTGCCTCCCATGTTCACTGCAGCCCCCGCCCTGCAGTGCTGAGGCCAGGCCGTGGGGGGCGGGGTGGGGCTCTGCAGGCGATGGGGGAGGTGGGTGGGTTACAGATTGGGGGAGGGGAAATGTCCTGTTTTTTTAATATCACAATTTCAGGGGCAAAACCCCATTTCCCTCCAAGCCTTACCCTGCCTCTGCCCGTGGCTGGAGGGGGCACGGATCCTGCCCTGCGAGCCCCGGGGGAGGTGGGCAGGAGTCTGGTGAGGTTTGGCACCAGGGGGCTTGGCGGGATCTGTGCCGAGCTCACCAGCGGCTGCGGAGACCCATGTGCCCACCGCTCAGCGGCCAGAGCCGGGCGCCTTGGGGCTGGGGCTTCCTGGCTCAGGTGGGTGCTTTGAGGTAGTCACTTTAACCACTTACACCTCACGGTTCAGCTTATCTAAGTGCCCTGCTCCCCCCACCTTTGGGGGCCTTGTGGGTGGAGGAGGGGAGCACGGGGCAGGGGGACAGCGCAGCGCAGGCCGGCAGCTGTGGCCCCCCGACCCCACGGGGAGGGAATTCAGTAACGAAGGTGAAGGCGACTTGCGAGAGGAGGGGCAAAGAGCGCCCAGCAGCAGAGCTAGGAGCTGCCTGGCACTGGAGCCCAGACACCACTGTGAGGGGCTGCTGTCCCCAACTGGCACCCAAACAGACCCCCCCCCGCCACCCAGGGCCGGAAAGGCTTGTGTGCCCAGGGTTGGCTGAGTCCATGAGGAGCGTTGTGGCCAGTGCGCCAGCCCCACACATTCCCCTCCCCTGCCCCCTGCCGCCCGCTCTCCCTTGTCCTGCTCTCTGGCCTGGCCTCGGGGCCGCCCTGGCTGGGAGCGTCTCCAGCGACAATACACCTCATTTGCCAAGGATGAGCAGGGAGACAGGATCGTGTGTGTGCGCGCAAGAGGGGTGCGCTGTGTGCGCGTGCGTGGGGTATCACACGAGTGTGTCAGGGCGGTGTGCATGCAGATCCCGCTGCCCCGCTCAGTGGCTCGGCCCGGACACATTCCCCCTCACCCCCGACACTTTCCTGCTAAGGTCAAGTCCAAGTGTGTGCAGTGAAAGCCGAAGTACTCAGCGCTCCCGGCCAGAGCCCCACGGGCCAGGGCAGCCCGGCCAGAGCCCCTCACCCCACAGTGAGCCCGACCAGAGCCCCACACCCCACAGCAGCCCGGCCAGAGCCCCACGGGCCAGGGCAGCCCGGCCAGAGCCCCTCACCCCACAGCAGCCCGGCCAGAGCCCCACACCCCCCAGCTGCCCGGCCCCAGCCCCACGGGCCAGGGCGGGCCGGCCCCA